TATGTTAGCATTTTTCTGGTGATCTTTGATAAAATTAGGCTCTTATAGAATAAAAATGTCTATTTTCATTCTTATTACTATCTACATAGATGAATGCTATTTTGTGATGTAAAAATATTGTGCTCTTGCCCTAGGTGCCACCTGTACCCACGTCGCGCTCAGCAGCAGCAGGTTCCTGTGGTGGATTTCCAGGCAGAACTGAGACAGGCTTTCTTAGCTGAGACACCAAGAGGTGGTTAAAGCAGTATTGAAACATCAAGGAGGAGGAAGTCAAGGAAAACAGGTTAGAGTTAATTCGAAGGTAAAAACAAACAATAGGATATCTAGAGTTTAATTGATGCAGTTACCTTTTTAAGAGCTTTATATACATAATAACCTTTTTTAAAAGCTTTATATACACCAGCACTAGACACACATCATACAGCAATTTTATACAATGAACACTTATTTATTATTTTTTATGCATTTCTTTTTTGAGACAGAGTTTCTCTGTATAACAATCCAAGTTGGCCTCAAAATCATTGGTATAACATATGGCCTCAAATTCACTGAGGTCCACCTGCCTTGGCCTCCCAAATACTAGGAATAAAGACTGTGCCACCACCATCTGACTCAAAATATATGTATGTGTTTGCATGTCTATGTACCGTGTATATAGAAAGTCTAGAGCAGGACCTCAGATCTAGACCCTGAAATTGGAAATAAGTGTCAGACTTTGTGTTGCCTGATATTAAACTCAGGTCCTGTGGAAAACATGCTCTTCTTCTTTTTTAAAAAATAAAGTAACACCTTTAATCCCAGCACTCAGGAGGCAGAGGCAGGCGGATCTCTGTGAGTGCGAGACCAGCCTGGTCTACAGAGCTAGTTCCAGGACAGGCTCCAAAACCACAGAGAAACCCTGTCTCGAAAAACCAAAAAAAAAAAAAAAAAAAAATAAAGTAACATTTATTGATTGTGTATATAGTGTTCTACCTTCATGTATCACCAGCGCTCCATACAGGTGTTGGTGAGCCACCAAGTGGTTGTTGGTAAGGTTGACCTCAGGACCTGGATGAGCAGCCAATATTCTTAACAGCTGAACCATAGCTCCAGCTCAAGCTAGTGTTCTTTAAAAATATTTATTTATTATGTATATGACATTCTGCCTCCATGTATGCCCGCACACCAGAAGAGGGCGTTAAATGTCATTACAGATAGTTGTGAGCCACCATGTAGTTGCTGGAAATTGAATTCAGGACCTCTGGAAGAGCAGCCAGTGCTTTTAACCACTGAGCCATCTCTCCAGCCCCCTCAAGCTAGTAGTCTTACCTGCTGAGACATATTCATGCCCCAAATTAATTTGTAAGAACATTTTCACATGATTATAATTATATTTAGCGTGTTTCTTTTACATGTGTCCCATATGCCCTTTGTGTAATCAGGGATTCACTCTGGCAAGAAAGCCTTACGAGCTAAATGTTGAAATCATGGGCATGTAATATCAATACTATAATTATTTCAGGTTTTATTTATTTATTGAGACAGGATCTCACTATGCACCCTGGACTGACCTAGATAGAACTCACTTTGTGAAACAGGGTGGGTTGAACAAAAAACGTGTGGGCCTTAGGTGTTTAGTTCTAGGTTTTACAAGTTTATTTTACGTTTATGGTGTTTTGCATGCATGTATGTCTATGTACCATGTGTGGACAGAAGAGAGCATCAGATCTGGAAATGGAGTTAACGTGGTTGTGAGCTGCCATGTAGGTGCTGAAATTAAAGCTGGGTCCTCTGGAAGAGCAGCCACTATACTTAACTACTGAGTAATCTCTATTTCATGATTTATTTATTTGTAGACAGGTTCTAATTGACTAGGCAGGACATCTCTGTGTAGAACAGGTTGTCCTTAGACTAATAGATCTTTATCTTCTGTCTGCCTCACGAACTGTGAGGCATGTGCCACTTTACCCCACATTCATTGTGATCTTCATATATGTGCACAGTTTAATTAAACTCTATCCAGTCCCAACTCGTAACTTCTCCTGAACCTTCTATCTAGTGCTCCTTTTCAATTGCTGTTCCCATTTAACTAACTGTTCACCTAGTGCTAGCCATGGAGATTTGGGTTGTGAGCTGTATCACTGAAGTACTAACATCCTCACCATTTTTTTGTCTGCATGGAAGAAAAGGATGAGGCCTCATAAGCCCACCCCATCCATGTTGGACTGTTGATTGGCTAGTCTAGTGCATACATCTGTATATATTTACCATACGAGTTCATAAGTGCAGCAGCCCTGCAGTGCCAAGAAGACACTTTCCCAGAAGGCCTCTGAGGTCATCATCTTTCTACCCCTTCTCTGATGGCCTTTCAGACAGGGTGGTGGGGGTGAAAAGACTTAGGACTGAGCAATCTACTATCATTTATTTTGTGCACTTTGAACATTTACAAGCCTATTGACCCCCATCGTCTGTGTAAAGAAGTTTCTCTGATAAAAGGTGAGAAATGAATAATGTATGGGTATAAGACAAAATGTTTAGAGGGACATTGATACTATGTCAAATAGAAGTTGTAGCTTTTCCAATAGCCCATCTGTTCTCCTCAACTGTGGGGTTCTTGGCATGCCCTCCCTGTGAAGTGAGTATGAATTTCAATTATTTATTACTGAAAATAAACATTGTGTGTTTTCAGGAAACTACAGAGGCTGGAGAGGGCATCAGAATCCCCTGGATCTGGAGATGGAGAAAGATACTGATAAGTTGTCATGTGGATTATGAGAACTGAACTTGGGTCCTCTGCAAAATCATAGCAGGAAGCTCTCAGCCCACTGGGCCATCTCTCCACGCTGTTTTCAGTTTTTAAAATGTAGTCCATTTAGCTGGGCATGGTGTTGCATGCCTTTAAACGCAGCACTTGGATGACATACATAGGTGAATCTGAGTTCCATGTTGGCCAAATATACATTATGAATTCCTTTAGATTGTCTCAAAAGTCTAGAAAATGAATTATGCAATTTAATTTAGAATGTAGTTCAATTATACAAACATAACATTAATGCTGCCATTGTACCAATGGTCATGCATTACCCAGCTGATAGTTACTGTAGAGCACAGGTTTCACAAACGGGTATGACTGACTTCACCAGCTTCCTGTACTTCTCATATTGAAAGCTTGCCAGCAGTTAGGAAGCTTCTACCTTAGTTCCAGTTTGATATTTTTATTGTATGTAAATAAAAAATGGTATCTTCAACAATCAGACTTGTCACCAAATGGGAAACATAAAACAATTGCAGTAGGCTATATTATTTATGGGGAATCTGCCACCAGACTGCACTTGGCAAACTCAAAGGGAGATATTTATTTCACACTTCACAGTGTGATGCAGTGTGGCTTCTGTAAGAAACATCATCCCCATGTAACTACAATTAAGTAATTTTTTAAAAATCATTTAAATTTGGTTTTCCGAGACATTTTCTCTGTAGCTTTGGGGCCTGTTCTGGAACTCACTCAAGCTGGCTTCAAACTCAGAGGTCTATCCACTTTAAACTGCATCCTGAATGCTAGGATTAAAGGCATGAGCTACCATTGCACAAACAATACATATTTTTAGAAAGTGCGATATCAAGTTTTTGGAACATTTTTAGTGAGTTATATTGCTCATACTCCAGGATTCTATGTCACTTTCCTGTTCTAGTTCCTCAGGTGGCATGAAGATTAAAAATTCAAGGGATAATCTCATGTGAGCAGAGGAACTGAGACAAAATAAGATAAATACAGATTCAGGATGGGCTTATACTTTGTGAAACCTATTCTCTGTTATAGAGAAATAGTTTCTACTCTCATGGTTAAACTTCAGATTCTCATTTAAACTTCTAGTTAAAACTGGGCAGGGTGGCCTTATGATCTTAGCACACAGAAAAGGTTAAAGAATGGGATTAAAAAATCCAGACTAGGCTGAAATAAATATAAGGAAATATTATCAAATTTTATGCTTTATCCTGCAATGAGTATCTACCAGAGAGCTGTATTCCAAGCTCGTAATTGTATTTTACATTTACTTTAAAGTGTCTGCCGTCTATCCATTGAACTGTTGCTTCATCATTATGAATACACTGATTGCAACCATATGCCCGAGGTTCTGCTGATTATTGTCATACTTGTCTCCTGGTGGGAAAAGATTACCCATTTTGATTTTAAAGAGGCAGCCTACAGTTTTAGACATGTTAAATAAAAAAGTATATTTTTGAGCTAAGGAATAAATAGGACACCGATTAAATTTAGGGATGAAAAAATGTAGGTGTTTCTGAAATACATATAGTGTTAAAATATTAAAAATGTGCTTTTCTTCCAAAATAGAAGATGTGGTTTCTAAGCGATTATATAAAAACCTAGAAACAGTGATTCGAGAGATGTCTCATTGGTTTCTGCAGAAGACCTGGGTTTTGTTTCCAGCACCCACATGGAGGCTCAAAACTAACTGTAACTTCAGTTCCTAGGAACTTGATGCCATTTTCTGACTTTGAGCACCAGGCACATGTGTATGTATATATATATATATATACACACATATATATATACATATATATATGTATGTATATGTGTATGTATATATATGTATGTATGTATATATATACATATATATACATACACACACACACACACACACAAAGAGACGAGAATTTTTATTTTTTTTAAATGCTGGGATGCATAGAATATTTCTATAACCACTGCTTGGAAGCCAGAGACTCTGTGGATTTCTGGAGCGTAATTAAGTTCCGGGTTTACATGTTAGCCAGAAATTAGCATTTATATCTGGCCACTAAAATACATCTACTGACCTACACAGCCAGGAATGCTTAGCAATACTGGTAACCAATTGGTTTCATAGATCTAGCAGGTTAAAAGATTAATAAGAAAAGGGCTAAAATTTGTTCTTTGTTAGAGATGAAGTTATACTATTTGAATATTTTTAAAGCATAGTAGATGGAAGTACAGTTGTAATTTTCTTCCTTCTGCAGGACCGATCCACTATCTTTAAAATCACCAGTCAAGCTTACATTGTGTCTAAGCAAACCTGCATCACACCTTTATTTATAGCCCTCCCCAAAGTGTTAAAGGTCTTGAAATTTTACTATTGAAGCATCTATTGTGGAACAGCAATCATGGTGAGTTATACATTACAGAGTTGGATAGCTGCTGTAGTAACCTCATAATTTTTTATTGTCTAGTTTTTGAGGCTGTAAAATTTAGAAATAGGTATTCATTTATAGAGGTGTACATGTCTGTTAGTACTCTTAAAGCTTTGGAGAGAATACCGAGGGATGCCTTATCAATTCTTTTTTCAATTAATCTTTTTATCATTTAGATTTTGGTGAGTCAGTATAACCTTAAGGAACCACCTTATAGAGCAAAGACTTAGATTCAATTGCAGAACATACAGACTTGGAAATATCAGGTGTCTGTTAAAATCAGAAAGGTGGTAGATGAGGGATTGTTAACCTGAAGCTCTCAGACACAGATTAGCAAAGGAAAAGATGCTACTTCCAAAGCAGGGAGTTGTGTTAGAGACTGTAAACAAAGCATTTGGGTTGTAGATAGGAAGACTAAGAGCTGAGGATAATCACCATTGTCGCAAGTTCAGTGCTTAAAAAATAGCAAAAGATTTTTTAATAATAATGATATGGATGTGTTGGATCTGGGAGCCCTTTGGTGATCATGATTTCATTTAGTTGGGGTTATTTTATAACTTTTACTGAGGAATTTTTTTTTAGGTTTACAAAAAATAGTTTATAGGGCCAGGTGCTCTGTTTGAAATTATGGTCATTTGATGGAAAGAACGCATAAAAATAGTGTTGACAACTCTAAAGGATAACTAAGTGAGGGATTTCTATTTTAGGAATAAGTTTCATAACTAGTAGATACTATGGGTCCTACTTAGGATTCTGAGAAGTGCAGAGCTATGTAAAGTGGTCTTAGTCTACTTGATATTTCAGTATTTAGAAAATAGAGAGAAATAAAGGGAGACAATATTAAAGAACTGCTTATATAGAGATGTAGGAAAAAATAAGGAAACAGGAAACACATGAACTTTCCATTGATATTCCTTTACTGATTGCAGACTGTGGGTAAGAGTAGCAAGATGCTGCAGCACATTGACTATAGAATGAGATGTATCCTGCAAGATGGAAGAATCTTCATTGGCACCTTTAAGGCTTTTGACAAGCATATGAATCTGATTCTCTGTGATTGTGATGAGTTCAGGAAGATCAAGTAAGGCTTGTTTGGATCATGGATTGGGAGGAAAAAGCTGGAATAAGATTGATAGGGAGACTGAATGAGATAAAGAAGGTGTGGATGGCCATGTGGTTATGTTACCTAATCCTTCCAGAATTGGATCAGATTCTTATGTTGCATTCATATCATTGCATACAAATAACGTTGGCAAAAATAACTTACATTGTCAAATCTCATGTCAATAGTATTTGGTTATAATCATAATGCACATAGGATTTTGATATAAATAGGGCTTTAGTTTCACTTACCTTAAAGGCTTTGTCCTATCATTTGCATCTATATTTTGCAGCAGATCATTTTGGGTATCTGTATATCAAGGGAGCAAGACATAGGAAAATAATTTATGCAAGTTAAAGAAGTCTACAGAGTAATTAGGCAATTAAATTTTTAATAATAGTGATATGGATGTCTTGGATCTGGGAGCCCTTTGGTGATCATAATTTCATTTAGTTGGGGTTATTTTACAACTTTGGTCTAATTGATTCTTTTGATAAGTAAGGATCACAAATTTATTTTACTGATTTTTAATTCTGATTTATAGGCCAAAGAATGCAAAACAGCCGGAACGTGAAGAAAAACGTGTTTTGGGTCTGGTCTTGCTACGTGGAGAGAACTTGGTCTCTATGACTGTGGAGGGTCCACCTCCTAAAGATGTAAGGATGATTTAGGGCAAGATTTCCATGTTTCTGGTCTTCGATTTTTACTTCAAACATGAATTATACAAGCCCATGGTACTTGGACTTAATGTCTTAGCAGGGCATATGGAGAAATACTATAATTACATGTAATCAAATAAAATGTGCCTAGTACTTAGTATAAGAGTTCAGATCTATACTTTAGGAAGTATATTTATGATTTCACAAACATGCTGGGTAGAAGGTGGAAGTGAATTTTTATTGGGAAGGAAGTGGTCAAGGAATTAACAGTTCCCAGTTTTGGAAGTATATATCCCAAATCTGTAAGGCACTCAGAAGTATTTGTTATTACCATTACATTTGTTTGCATATGGAGCTAATGGGAGCTAATTAGCTTGTAACATGATTGAGAATTAGTTCCTTGGGTAAAAATCACTTGTTTTTGAACAAAACGGCCAAGTTTAAAGTTAAACATTTTTGTTTCAGACTGGTATTGCTCGTGTGCCACTTGCTGGCGCTGCCGGTGGCCCTGGGGTTGGGAGGGCAGCTGGCAGAGGAGTACCAGCTGGTGTACCTATTCCTCAAGCTCCTGCTGGATTAGCAGGCCCTGTCCGAGGAGTTGGAGGTCCATCCCAGCAGGTAAGACCAGAACAAGGTTTGCTATTCATGATAAAATATGACGAAAGCATAGAACTGAGAAGATGAGCAATCAGAAAGCTATATCTATACTGTTTTAAGTTTTATATGTTCTAGAAAGACTAATCCTTGATAACGAAGACACTTTGAATTGATGTGACTAATGAAATATGCAACTGTAAATGCCAAGTCCAGAAAAATCAAAAGATGATAAAATGGCAATATGTCAAGATTTAAAAATATGAGGCTGAAAGTAGATGTCTGAATTCTGGTGGGGGGTTCAGAATTTTAGACAAGACTACATAGACTCTGTCTCCAAAGTAACAAACAACAAAAGAAACCTCCCCAAATGTACACAAATAAAACAAACCAGAGCAGCTCAGCAGGAATATGCATAGCATGTAAAAGCTTCTGGATTTATTCCTCATCAACTGAAAAAGAGAGTAATATAAGTAACAAGATACAACAATTGTATCTGTAATAGGATTTATTCATTATTTCTTTTTATGTATTGGAAAACGATTGCATCCCTCATCTCTTTGTATTTTTGGCATAACTTTTAAGGTCATGACTCCACAGGGAAGAGGCACTGTAGCAGCTGCTGCAGTTGCTGCCACTGCCAGCATTGCTGGAGCTCCAACCCAGTACCCACCAGGGCGTGGAACTCCACCTCCCCCTGTAGGCAGAGCAACCCCACCACCAGGTAAGTCCTTTAGAACAAATAATTGAATTTCCTACAGAGTCTATCATCTTGAGGAAATAACATCTCAAAGTACTGTGTATTGCTAGGAATTTAGGAACTATGCTACTAGTTTTATTGCTATACATTTTTTTTATTGAAGATAGCTTTTCTAATGCAATATTCTGTTACTTTCCCTTCCCCCAGCACCTTCGTACATCCCCATCTACAAAAATTTCAGCATTTCTTCCGACTAGAATACAAGCAGGCATCTCAAAAGTAGTATTAGAATAAAATAAGATAAATTAAAACAAACCCAATTGGGACTAAAAATCAAACAAATATAAACAAATAGCAAAAGGAAAAAGTACAAGAAGCAAACCTTTATGAACAAAGACAGAAACCATAATTTGTAAGCAAGCATTCTATGAAGTTAGAAATTTAATGTTCAGACAAAGCTTCATGAACCAAACCCTCTCTCAATAATATGAATCAGTTCTGTGTTGTCATCTATTATTGGGCATGGTGCCTGTTTTAAGTGGTTGGTACATCTATTGAGCCTCTTTATTTTTCTTGTGTAAGTGGTTTTGAATTAGGGCTAGCTTCTGGGGTGGTATGGGAACTTGTGTCTATGACTCTCAATGCTGGGACGCCCACATGCCTTAGACCTGTACAGGTTCTGGGTGCTACTACTGTTGTGTCTGAGGGCCTTGTTTAATTGTTGTCTTCAATCCTCAATGACCCTTACAGTCTCTTTCTTTCCTCTTATTCTCAGTAAGTGGAACTTAAATTCAATCAAGTTTGTTTACTCTACACAATCTTTGCCACTATTTACCAGTGTATCTTTCTGTCAGGTGTCCGTTTTAGATCACAGGGATTGAAGCTATATTGGCATTGGTATTTGTAAATGAAAGGCTAGAGTCTTTGGAATTAGGATGACACTCTGGATTACAGGATAAGGACCTTCATTTCGCATGCACACACTTGCCTCATTTCTGGAACCACTATTTTATGCTACACCATAAGAGCTTTATTTAATGAGCCGACCTAAGGAGGGTTTATTTGTTATTTATTTTCAGGAATCATGGCCCCTCCACCTGGTATGAGACCACCCATGGGCCCACCGATTGGCCTTCCCCCTGCTCGAGGGACGCCTATAGGCATGCCCCCTCCAGGAATGAGACCCCCTCCACCAGGAATTAGAGGTCAGGGCCTGTGAATAACATCAGATCCTGTAATATTTATATGCTCTTGATAACTTCAATAGAATTTTATTATTTTTCCTTTCTAGGCCCACCTCCCCCAGGAATGCGTCCACCAAGACCCTAAGATGGCTGATAAATATCAGCCTTTACTTTTCCCTGCAATGCATCTTGTGAAATTGTGTAGCATGCACGCTTTTTGACCCCTCTTACTGCATTAATTATAGCTAATAAATACATAAGAGCAATTGAATTGAGGGTTTCTTTTGTCTGATTTTGTTAAAGTCAGTGAAACTAGTGTTTTATTGTGAAAGGTAAAAGCAGGCATGCAGTTTATTTACGCAAGCTAGTATCTTAGGATAAAATGGTTGTAATATTATTTCCTGATTCCTGCCTCTTCTTGCATTAACATGCTGCTTAAAATCTTAAAGTAAGATTGTGATTTGCTAAGATTAACATGGCACTGTGGTCACTTTAATATGTCACAATTAAAGGTTTGTGGAGAAACTTAATCAGATATAATTAAATTAACTTAAAGAAATTTTGGCAGTGGTATGTCTTTTATGATCATTAATTAAAACATTTGGAATCAAAGGTAGTGCTTTTGCAAAAGGGATGGCTTCAGTTGATTAGGGTTTACAGTTGTTGGTAATCAGTGTCTTATGGAAGACCTGATCTGAGAATTAAATCTATTATGGTAAGTTTCAATCCTAAATAAGTGTTAGAGCCTGGTCATTGGGATACAAGGTTCTGCATGCTTGATATGGCACACTGAAATTCATATTAAGTTTGTGTCATCACCAATAGTGTGCTGTTGACTACAAGCATTGAGGGAACACATGATGACTTTGAGTTGTAAGTAAAGGAATTTTTTTATGGATAAATTTAATTTGAATTAGCTAACAAAGAAAAAGCTGTTTTGCCATGGGAAGTGGTTTGTAATGGTGAGTGAATTACCTATTTTTTAATTAAAAATAATAATTAATACATTAATACATTGTATTTCCATCTTTTCTATCTCACCTTCACTCTTTTAATTCTTATACTCCAAACATGCTCAATTTCTTGACATTCTGTAATCACACACACACACACACACACACACACACACAGAAGAAATCCCATGTACTGGGTCCATTTAGTTGCTTGTATGTACATAGTCTTAGGTTCATCACTTGTTGTACTGTGTCTTTTCTCTGGAGAAAATGATTCATCCTCTCTTATTCAATGTTTTTCCATCTGTGTGGTGTCTTGTGAAATTTCCAGTGTCAGTAGGACTGCTGATGGTCTTGTTTAAATAATGTTGTTTAATAATATTATTGAGATGTAACTTCACTGTCATGCCTAGAAGACTTGCTAAGTCACCTCTTCCATTCAGAGGCTGGTAACAGGAGGCTCTGAGATTTAGGCATTAGTGATAACAGCATATTTGAAGAAAGTATTGTCTGAATAATGACCTCCCGTTTTCTTTTTAAGATACCCTGATTGTTGGAGGCTCAGCTTATAAAGATCATGCTAATGAGTACCATTATTTTTTTGCTTATATTCTGGGAATTTCATGTTTATCCTTTACTCATGGTAATTGTGTATTATAGACTATGATAAAAATTTTTATTAAGATTTATTAAAATTTTTATTAAGATTTATTAAAAATATGCAACAACATGACAGTTGTTGCAAGATACTCTGTATGTACTTCTGATGTTCAAGTTAGGGAGTTTGATACAGGGTCTCATGTAATATAGTCTCACCTCCGACACCTTATAGGCAAAGATGACCATAAATAAGCTCTCATCCTTCCTACTCAGCCTCTTAAGTCTTTCTGCCATTACCTATTTTATTATTTAATAAATTCTTATAGATTTATTTATTATGTATATAGTGTTGTGCCTGCATTTATACATGCAGGCCAGAAGGCACCAGATCTTATCACAGATGGTTTTGAGCCAAAATGTGAGTGCTGGGAGTTGAACTCAGGACCTCAGGAAGAGCTCATTTAGTTTTTTCCTGTCCTTCCCTTTCTCTCTCCCCCTTCCTCTCCTCCCTCCCTCCTACCTTCCTTTCTTCTGAGACAGGGTTTCTCTATATCCCTGACTGTCCTGAAACACTCTGTAGACCACACTAGCCTTGAACACAGATATATACTTGTCTATGCCTTCCTAGTGCTAATATTGAAGGCATGTACCACCACTGGGTGAAGTCAGTTGCATTGGTGTGCCCCAGCATTAGGAAATGAAGTCAGTGTGATGAATAGTACTTCACATTCATATATATAGTCCTATATTATAGTGAGTTATAGGACAGCCTTGGATAGGCAAACTGCTGTTCAAAAATAAGAATTTCAAATGTTATTGTGGAAACTGTTTACTTTTCAACTTATAAGTCCTTATTTATGATCTGATCAATTTTTATTAAAAGACTGATAGTAATATATTGGGAACTGTTTGGAGAAAGTGAGTTGTAATACTTTTAGTATGTTTAGTAGTTGTCTGGAAATTTCAGTCTTGACACCATGTCTATCATCTACTTACCTTGAAAAGGGTTAATAGATGTCACGTGGCGATTCTTCATCATTACATTCTGCTTCGTATTTGTGTGTCATTTCAGATTATGTGTTTTGTAAAATGTATTAAGACATGCTGTTTTTTGCAGAACAGTATCTAGTCTTTAAATAGGTGTATATTTATGTTCATGTTATTTCAGTATCAGGTGATGTCCTTTTGTCGAATTACTTGATGACTGAAAAGAGAATTTCATCAATGAATGTTAAGAAGTTTCATGAGCCTGAATACCACCCTGTAGTATTATAACAAGACTATAAATCCTAATAGCTGCATTTAAGACAAACATAAACCATGCAAGGTAATGTAATCTTTTATTTTAAAAAAAAAAAACGCATTTTACAGAGAGGCCTTGACTGGATTTATGATGATATAGGACCTTGTCTGATCAAAATGACTTTAAAAAATGAGCTTAAAATAACTCTGAAATCTAGTCAGTGTGCCTCATTACATATAAAATTGCTTATCCTCAATAGAAACTATTGGTTTAAATGGGCATGCTGGTATAGACTTGTAATTTCAGCCCTCGATTGGCTGATGTGAGAGGATTACAAGTTCCAGGCCAGCCTAGTATGCATAACAAGATGCTGTTGTATACATTGTATACTAAGAACTGGAAAGTTCACAATTACACTTTTATATTATACAATATCTTTTCATAAATGTTTTGAGATAATTTGTTTTCTGCATTTTGTATTTTGTTGCAAGCAAAACATGAAATGTCCGTGGATCACAAAAGGCATAGGCACCTGTTGATATGGAAATAAGAATGTGTAAAAATGGAGCTCCCAAGTCTTGAAAAATGGCACATACCATTGTTGATTTTGTAAGTGATATCAATCAATCAGGAGGAAAGGGTAATGTTTATGGAACGTTTCCATTGTGGATTGCGGTGAGTATAAGAGCCTGTTCTTCTGATGTCTGCATTTGATTAACTTGGTCAGATCCACATCATGGTAATGTTACCACAAAATTAGTTGATGAATAAATATAGTAGTTAGAAATGTTCAGAATTAAGAAGTAAGGTTTAGGTATTATTGCACTATCTTTCAGTAAGAGTATTAAGAACCCATGATTTTGTAGCTGAGTCCATGCTCCAATATTAAAGCTGGCTATTTTTACCGCTTAAATATTTGCCAGTATTTTGGTATTTTTTATATATTTGTAGTAATGTTTTATTAATCTTTGTAAAAGTGAAAAAAATTGCCATTTACATTTATTGGGGTAAAGCGCCTTCTCTTGTAGTGAGATGGGGAGCCACATGCTGAAGTATTTATGAACGTAGTTAAGAAACAAGAACAGTAAAGTTCCTGGAGATAGAACGCAGATTGTCAAGCTTGCAGCACATACCTTTACACCTACAGCCATAACACTGGACACTGGCATAGTGGCTTTTAGCTGGAAGGATAACTATTAAGTTATCAAAGTGAAATTACTGCTTCCTTAGCCATATGCTGGCATATCTATTTACTTATTCTTCTATTCATCCATCCATCCATCCATCCATCATCTTCATCAGTTTATTTAATGATTGATTCAATTATTGATTGGCTTCTTGATCTATTTAATTATTGATTTACTGGTATATGAATTTATTATGCATTAGCTTTCTGGTCCTTGATTTGTTTGGCTTTTTGATCTATGTATAGATCTATGTATTGGCTTCTTGGCATTTTTAGTAGCTGACTGATTTATTTATCTATGTATTTACTCAATGCTTTTATTATTTATTTCTTTTAATTTACTTAATGACTAAAATTTATTTATTGCCTTTCTTGCCTATTGATTGATTGGCTTTACTTATTGGCTTGCTGTCATTCATTTCTTTTCTTATTACAAATGTATTTATCTGATTACTCATTAACTTATTTGATTAATTAACTTCATGGTCTAATTATTGGGTTGCTGGTATAAAGTGTCTATTGACTTGCTTTCTTGCACTCACATTTATTAATTTATTTTTTTCATCCATCCATCATCAGTCTGTCTTCTTCATCAGTTTATTTAATGATTGATTCAGTTATTGATTGGCTTCTTGATCTGTTGACTTGATGGCACATTTCTGTTTATTGGCTTCTTGATCAATTTATGGCCTTTCTTGCCTATTGGTCAGTTGATTGGTTTATTGACTGACTTATTGCCTTGATCTAATTGAAAATCGATTTATTTACTTGCTAACTATTTTAGCTTGGTTGCTTGCTAGCTACTTCATTTGTTTATTTATTCCCTTTCCTGAGTATTATTTGGTATTTCTTGATTTGCTTGCTGGGATATCTATCTACCCACCTACTTACATACTTACCCACTAACTTATTTATTGGTGATTGATCTGTTTATTGCCTTTTTATCTGTGGATTGATTAATTTTGCTGACATGCTGGCTCTATTTAGTTATTTATGTGCTTACCCTCTAATTTATTTATAGGATATTTGATCTATCACTGGATTGTTTGGCTTTATTTATTGAATTGCTATTTTTTTATTTATAGCTACTTACCAACTAACATTTATTTATTAGCTTATTGCTTACTAGCTTCTTGATCAGTTTATTCCCTTTATTGAGTATTGGTGGGCAACATTTCTTTATTGGCTTGCTGGGATATTTATGTATTTACTTACCTACTAACTTATTTATTACACTTGATTTATTTAATGGTTCATTTATTTACCAATTTATTTTATATTTGATATAT